AAAAGCAGTGCAAAGCATACCAAAGTGGCATGTGCTGGGAGAAACATGGAGCCCCTGTGCCCCAGCCCGCCAGAGAGTAGCACATGGAGATAGGGGAGCAGGCAGCCCCCTCTCTCCACGCTGCGGAGACTCCACACTGAGGCACCCTGTGCCCAGGTAGCCCCTGCTGCAGCACATGGAGATGCGGGACAATGTGTTCTGCTGCAAACCACATGAGCGGGGTGTGCACTGCAGTACAAAGTAGCGGTGCAAATTTGTGCTGCTACTATTTGTGCTGCTGCAAATGCAAGTCCCTGCTCATGTGGGTGCGGCCCTTCAAATGTTTTTTTTTGCGACAGTTGGCTGAAATATTAATGCATCTTTCATTCTTCCTACAATGGTATGGCCAAGCAATTCTTTAGCTCCGATTCTAAGAAGAGACAAGCAGTTCAGCTGCAAGAAGCAATGATAAACGGCGGATATCACTCTAAAATATCCACATACAGAAAACAAACCAAAATTCCCTTATTCAAAGGGATTAAAGCTTGTGATTTCGTACAAACAAGCCTCTCTCCTGGGTAATGTTGTGCCCTGTCCTTTTGTAAAGCTATGCACTGTGCAGCTTCTGCACAGATCAATTTTTCATTTTTCTACAGAGCAAATGCATTTTCCGCCTTAGTTAAAAACCAAAAATGCTCCTTGGAAGCTGGAAATGCTTTTCTTGTTCTAGTTGCACCTGCCATCAGTCAGCAGAGGCCGCATTCAAAGCCTTAGTGGGCATGTCTACATGTGCATAGTAATGCACAGCAACAGACTATGATGCATACTGCGCTGGAGTTTATTGCTCCTGGGTGCCGTATTTACATGTGTGCCTGGGACCACAGCACATTGCTCTGGGTTGGAGCAGTCCCAACTGGTAGGGGGGTCAGCCTGACAGTATGGGGCTGCTCTGACCTGGCTCAATGTGCTATGAAGGGGCTGGCTGGGCATGAGGGTGCTCCAGTGTGGGGCTAGCCAGCAGGCAGCCCTTTCACTGTACTACGTTCATGCCCCAGCCAGTCCCGTCAGCATCTATGTATGCATTGCTGTGGAGTAAAAAACTCTGCCTTAGGTTAATACTTGCACTTACAATACTAACTTGCAGCGGAGTTTATTATTTTACTCCAGTCTAATAGCCCTGCACATGTAGATGCTATGACATTTACTGAAGAGCTAATTAAGCAACTGCAGTAAATATCTCATGTAGATACACCAAGTGACTGCTAAAGACACAATGGCCAAAGGAAAAGGACAGGTTGCACAGACATCTTTCGTTGCCTAGATGGCCCAGCAGGTCCACAGCCATCTTCTACTTTAATTCCTAGTGTCTTGCAAACAAGCATCTGTTTGCAAAAAAACAGTTAAACCACTAAACCACTACATTAAGCATGGAATTCCTGCTTCTTGATAAGCACCCATCTTCAGTCCCCATTAGATTTGGCATCATTAATTTCCAAGACCAACTTGCTTTCAACTGTAGAAAAAGCAAGAAAAAACCACAAAGGTTGATTTTCATATGTGATTATCCAAGGCACTGGTAGGACAGCCACATTGCTTTCTTAACAATAAGCAAACAGGTATATATTTTCAAAATGACAAAAGTTATCATCCCTAATTATGGTCTGCTTCTCTCACTGTAGAATTTCTGCCTGGAAACCAGCTTCCTTCTGTATGAATTGTCATGACAGTTTTAAACAACTTCTTCACAGCTGTAGATCATTTTGAGTCCCTAGCATAACAGCTCATCTGGATCCAACTTTCTGGACTTAAAAAACATTTTTCCAGTTTGGTTACTTGGCTTATCAAATTCCAAAGGTGCAGGCCCCACAGATTTAGGACTCTTCAACAAGATCCTCTGCCTTCACTTACGTTGTGGGGCAAATGCCACTGTCACTAGAATCACACAGCAGCCAACTAATTCAGAGATCTTGAGGTCAAAAGCAACTGCAATCTTCATCTACCATGACTTCTTGCAGAAAACAAAGGGCATAGAATTCCACCTAGTTATTTAACCATTAACAAAACCAAACTGAATTTGAAAACAGCTAAATAATTTGCCTCAGTCTACCATGTTGGATGCCAGAATCTGTCTTAATAATGTAGACATAGTTGTTGTAGAGCAATGGTCTCCAACCTTTTTATGGTGAAGATCACTTTTTGCCACCCCAGGATCTACTGTGCACCCTGCCCTGCCTCCTGGACAAGCGGCCCGGGCTCAGACCCCACTCATCCGGCCTGGTCTGGGCAGCAGGGGGCATGGCTCAGCCCAGCCACGTGCATCCTGCTGCTCCCAATCGTGGAGCCTCTGACAGACTGAGATTGACTGTCAGAGGCTCCACGATTGACCACTGTTGTAGAGTCTTTGAGCTCAACTATACCCAATGACAATAGTTGCCCTTGTCTATTTCTCCTCATCCATTTTCATCAGGACCAGGTGTCCTGGGTTAAATTTTGGGCTGCATTTCAGCAACCATGTTTCACAAAATAAACCCACAGATTTCAAACAGGAATCCAAGATGTAAAAAACATTCTGATGTGTTGTGATTTTTCTGAGTTCTTTGCAACATAACAATTGCTTTATTATTTTTCCATAGTTAAAAGATGGCTGAAAACTAAGAGCTAGCATTTTCTGAGACATTCTCAAGTCTAACAAGGTGTGCCTTGAGCCTAAAATAGTTGGGAACCCCTGTTCTAAGCTTTGCATCCTTTATGAACAACCGTGTAAGACAAGGACATACTATAGAGGCTGGCAGCATCAATCTGCTCTGTTAACCCATAAGAAGCTAAGCTGGGTTTACTCAGGTAACTCTTGTGACAATGTTGAGGGAATGGCCTCGCAGTCTAGCAGAACTAACATGGAATTCTGCTGCACCACTCTGTCAGCAACCTGCACTGTTCCCTCAGCCACTGTATTCTCTTGTTGGGATAATTAATGTACCTGAAGGCATCCTGTGTCCCAACAGGTTGGGATTCAGAATCAGCAAACCAGTGGCCATTGCCAGTCATCATTTCTTCTACATGTCAACACAGAAAATCCCACAATTTCTCTCTCAACTGTTTTGCCTGTGTCTAGTGAAATACAGTGCTACAAATTTATAAACATAGATAATGGCTACTAGTGAGCCACTGTTTCTTTTTATCTTGGATGCAAGAGTTTCTTTTGGGGGAGTCTTTCTGGTTTTCATGGTTTCACCTTAGGTTCTAGGTGTTGCCCTACACAGGATGACTGCTCACACATTTGGATCCACTCTTGGTGTTTTCAGAGCCTCAATGTCTCTCCTGTCATTTTTCCATTGTTGTCCTGCATAGATTTTGGGACTACGACACAGTCACCAAGTGTCATTGATTCTTCAGAGTTCTCTCATTACACAGATGTCAAGGGCCAGATCTAGAAATAACACAGGCATATCAGATAAACTTGGATCCAATTTGCAGTTATTATTCAACACTAGTAGCTATATGTTCCCTCTATGGATGTACCAGGTCTCAGAGCCTGAAAGTCACCTAAAAAGACATGTTAGAGACTTACAATCAACTTTGTAATTGTAGTGATCCAGTGTTGATTTCTTTCTCACATATGCATGGTCATAAGAGGATCCTGAATTCATAGACAGTATTATGCAGGGTTTGAATTACATTATGACTCGGAGGAGGGGGCAGGGGGGGGAGGAGGGGAGCAGTCTGCAAAAAAAAGTGGGCTGCCCATCATGATGTCCTAATAAAATCAGACCCCCCCCCCAGATAATGATTTTCAAGTCTTACAGGGGGGCTCTCATCTCTTATGGGGGGTCAGCCCCCCCAAGCTCCCTCATAATTTGAATCCTGGTACAGGTTTCCTTCAATTAATGCAGGTTCTGTATATGCAAATTGCTCTTATGCAATAATCCTTTTTATACCCAAAATTCATTATATGCGAGGTAAATTCACTCATATGCGATCGGCATAGGCACCCCCCCCCAGCAGATAAGTCTGTGTGGGGAGGGGAAAGGGCTATGCGGCTGGGGCCCCCCCTCCCCCCGCCCCCGCCTCCGCCGGCCTGGGGCCCCTGCCTGCAGCCGCTGGGCTGCACCATGCTCTGAACCCCCCGGGTTCTGCTTGTCCCCCTCACCCCAGCAGCTGGTGTTGGCTGCTCCTGGGGCCACTGCAGCAGGGGCTGGGGTAAGTGGGGAGAAGCGGAAGCCCAGGGCTGCAGCAGGGAGCAAAGCAGAGGAAACTGTAAGTGGGTGCAGGGCACGGGACGGGGTGGGGGGGGAACGCGACTCTTGCTGCTATGTGCACTCCAGGAGGCCTGCAGGCTGGGAGGCTGTGCTGGGCTCTTCCTGGGGGGCACGTGCCCATGGATCTATGTGCAGGATGAGATCAGGCTGCTGCTGCGGGCTGGGGCCAGCAGCAGCACCAGGCTTTTCTCGGCAGTGGCACTGGAAGGGCAGATTGGGAAGGCTATGGTGAATTTTGGGGTGGCAGCAGCCCCCCTCCCAGTGCCACCGCCTGCCCTAAGTGCCAAGAAGAGCTCAGTGCTGCCACCAGCCCCAGCCTGCAGTGGCAGCCTGCTCTCGTCCTGCTCACAGATCCGGGGGCACATGCCCCCCGGGAAGAGCCCAGCACAGCCTGCAGCCCTCCTGGGGTGTGCATAGCAGCAAGAGCCACACCCCCTCCTACCCCACACCCACTTACAATTCCCTCTGCTTTTCTCCCTGCTGCAGCCCCAGGAGCAGCCGATGGGCTGTGCTGCACCCCTCCCCTGCCCCTTCCCTAGTCCCAGCCTTACTCCCTACCTCCCTCACTGCCGTAGGAACGTATCCCTAGTTCTTACATTATAAACTGGGTTCCCTTTATGCAAATTCGATTTATGCATGGTTTTCTGGGAATGCATGTACCACATAAATCAAGGGAAACCTGTATTATGCACATATATGCATACACACAGATGCACACTCCTCTCAAGCCAGAAAATTGAAATCAAGATTATACTTTCTAAAAAAAAAGAAAGGACAGACAGTATTAATTTCAAGGTTTAGAGCAAAAAGAATACCCAGCTCAGAATTTAATCAACTGGTTAAAAGAAACATCTTCAGAAGAGAACAACAAAACTGCTTTCCAGGTATACACACAAGATGAATATAGCTAGGATACATTTCATTTGGCACATCACATTTCACTTGCTGATTAAATGAAGGTCACTTTCTGTCAGCGCTTTCTGATTTCAGGAAACCATTCCCCTGCTCTAATCTTTCAATGTTAGAGAAGACAACCACTAAGATTATTCTAAAGGAAAATTTCATTGTTAAAAAAAAAAGGAAAGGAAAAAAAGAGGGGCTTGAAGAAAAGAACCTTGTACCTGACTTGCTATAGATACCAAAATTTGAGAGCAGCCAACATTTTAACGTTAAGGTTATAAATAGCAAGGAGCTACAATACGCACTGAAAAATGACTGCTTCCACACTTACACATTAGGTACCTTCAGCAAATTTATATTCTGTGGAAAACAACATTAAGTGCCAGATGACATATAGGTTTATTTATTGCCTTTTTAAACACAAACACAACAGCCACTCCATGGCAATTTCTCACTAGCAAGTTATACTTTCCTCTGGCCACCTAGTTGTCTTGATCCTTAATATCAGGAAACCAGATAATTCTGCTCAAACAAAATGTATCTAATGTGAAGGCTTTCTGAGATAAGCAGTGAGCAGCTTTGGACAAAACAAACTCCGAAAGATCACTGAAATTAGAATTGACACATAGTGGTGTGCTATGCAGAAACCAGCTTTTCCACCTATATTCTAACATACCTTTATTCCTTCTGTTGATGATATCAGTGCATTACCAGTCAGTAAACTTATATAGTCAACCAGTACATTAATAGTCAGCCATATGATATGTCTTCACTACCAAGTTAACTCGAGTTAGGCCTCTTAGTCTAACTCAAAAGACAGCAATCACACTGAGCCTGGTTCAGCATTCATTTGTATTTGGCACTTGAATCTCTTGGGGTAGAAGTTGTGGCTCTTACTGCTACAGTAAATTGAGCCACTTCTATGACTTCTTTACCAGTGAAGTTCTGGAGAACTTACCTGATCACATGCTAAAGCATAGGAGGACTAGTAGCATTCAAAAGTCCTGAGTCCAGAGTGCTCATGTTATAAGCTAATAATTTGCTCTTACTTGAGTTTTAGCTTACACCCCCTCTTTGGCCAGCCAAACCAAGCAGAGAGTGCTTTCACATTTAAGATAATGGATTTTTGCAGGGACAAAGGTGAGGCTTGAATTAAGACAATGACAGTGTGGAGTTATAATACCAGTTAACTTTGCACTGAAGACAAGTCTTCCAAGGCTAACAAAGAACTAATTATCTGGAAGCAAATCAATAACACTGTCAAAAAGGATCATTTTGCCCAGTCAATAAAATACTGAATGGAATATGGGAGAAAGTTGTCTTAAGTACAGAGAATCTGTTGCAAATGAACGTTTCTCTACAAACAAGTGTTACCATCTTGTGTTGCCAATCAGAGGTGCCCATTCAGTATATCCTATAGAACAGTGGTTCTCAAATTTTTTTTTTCGTGGACCACTTGAACATTGCTGAGGTTCTTGGCAGACCACTTAGTAAACTTTTTTTTGTTCTACAAATCAAAGCAAATAACTCATATTTTAATATCAGTAGTTTTACAAGTACAGATATTCTTGATTGGTCTTCAACCTTTCTGCGGACCACCTGAACGAAGCTCGCAGACCACAGTTTGAGAACCTCTGCTGTAGAACAAGAGCAGGATCTTAGGTTACAGGAAAGCCACTAAGATCAAACTGATCAAAATTAAAAATAAATTAGCTTTGGAAGGTTTCAATTCTTCTTAAAAGGATTATAAGCTTGGAGTTGCAAAGGTTGTAAATGCGTGCTTGGCCGTTTCCTGCAGGACTAATCTCTACTCAGTAGTCCTCCACTCTAATATTATGCTTTGACCTGTATAACAAGACCTGCACTTGCAGGAATGGTGCAGGTATTAAACTGATCTCTGTTGCAGTAGGTGTTATTCTTTTAGTGGGTGTCTGCTTCCAGAGATTCATTGCTGTGCAAACAACTATTTATTTTGTGTGTAGAAAATGTATTCAATTAAGCGTGATTCCTTATCTGGCCTATTCCTGCACTACATGTTCCTTTCTGAGCCCTGAAAGTTTGATCTTTTCACAGACTTCTTCCTTTATCATGTCATGTCAGAGGGTCTCTCTGCATTTCAATGTGCTATGTATTTTAGACAGTTGCAAGGAAAGAACTAACAGGAGTTCCTTTAAGCAGGATCCACTCTATCAATGAAATATCAGTTCTGAAAAACCTGATTCCTCCCACTGCCCAAACTACTCTTCACATCTAAACACCCACAGAAGTCATGCAGTTTGGGGAAGCTGGTGGGGTCATGCTAGAGCAGCATGCCCTGCAGTATCAGTCCCTCATCCCCGCTTTTAAAAAACAATTTTCAAACAAAGCCACACCAAGTCCATTCATCCAAGTCAGTGTTTCAGACTTGAGGGACAGCTTGTGCACCCTCTGGAGATACCAGGAGGTCAAACTTTATCAGTGGCCTAGCAATCGCCCGGACCTCCTCGTTCAGAGGGTTTAACTTCAGGTTCACACTCCGCAAGGACTCCATTGAAGCAAGCTTTTCAACAGGGACATCTGAAACAAGAAGAGCACACAGGAAACAAACATATGGATTAAAGGCTATTACCATACAGCAGCTAACCAAGTGCTTTGGAATTTAAACAACATTATCATTCATATTTTTTTAGGTACTTCCAGGCTGTGAGGTAAAAGATGAAGCTAATATGAGACAGTGAGCAAATAAGTCACTGAGGCTGTAGGGCTGAGTCTCTGGAAAATCTGGTAGCACTTCACTTACCATTTCTATTGCTTGTTCATAAGAAAAGGATTTCGTTGTATCAAAAATAGAAACGACACTCATTGTGGGTACAGGAAGTGGCCCAGGTTTCTGAACCTGCTGTGCAAAATGAACTGATTTTAAGAGTTAAAACTGCTAAGGTCCCAGCCAGGCTTTCATTGTAAGCATTTGCTCTCTCACATTTGTTACATTCAGAAAAACACTTCTTCTATGCTCATTTCTTGGCACACAGGTGAATTATGTATGGAAAATCTGAGGAAGACCATGTTAAGTTATAAGAGAAAAAACAGTTTATCAACTTCAAATGTACTGGTTGCTCATTAAACTACTAAAAAATTTCTCAGTCTGCATCAGGGGATTCTGCATGCTGCATTGGAGTACACACAGAACATATCCCTTTCTTCCCCTCTTGAAATAAAGGAAAGTTAACAGCTCAAATAGGAGAAAACTTTACAGGATGGGAAATTACAGATCTTGCCATTCTGACATCTATTCAGTTTGCACCATCTAAGCTTTCATTAAAAAATAAAGAAATTATATTTCTATCTTTTCAATTACAAATAGTTCAGATTCAAGATTCAACATCAATGTGTCAAAGGCCTGTCTGGTCATAACAGTTCACAGCAGAACTCAAAAGGATGAAACACATTTTTTTTCCTATTTCAAGCCTGAGATTCTTTGGATCACACTTATCAGGTGAAGCTCGGGGGAAGTGTAAACTATTGTTGTATTGCTTTTCCTTCCCTTACCATATAATTCAGATACATGTTTTTATGAATTCTGTTTTTTCCAAGACTTCCCACCCTTCAGTATTGTGGCACTGTAATACCTAATCTCATTTGATTCTAAGAAATCCTAAATAAGAATTGTGGCCTGAAGAGAGAGCAGAGAAGTGGCAGACACTGCTATATTCCATGTCCCTGTATTTATGAAAGAAGCTCTGAATTACTATTAGATACACGTTACTACCTCAGCAGTCTTTGTCCCTATGCTCACAGATTCCTTTTCTTATCTCTTTAGAGCCTCAGCCTACTTAATCTGTAACTTATTGATGACAGATCACAGTCCCACGCACCATGCCAGGAGCAGCATCAACAATTCCAACGGACTGTACTGGTCGTGAGAGATAGTTAGCCATATTAATCTGAAGTCAAGCAGAAGGTAGGGTACATTTGCACCTTATAGACTAACTAAATTGCATCCCTGCCTTAGTATAGTTGCCCCAGTAGAAGGTAATGAATGGCAGCTCTGGGATGTGTGGTCAACATAGCTGACCTCTCAGGAGGCCAGTTAGCGAAAGCAGTTTGCTTGAGGCAAGGTCTTGAATGTGGCACCTGGTGTACTCATAGCAGGGACTTTCTACTGGGGCATGTTGCAAACACCTATTAAAATGCCGCACATTCAGCAAACAGAGGAGCCAGGAAATATAGATGTGCATATGCACCTGTGTGTAATAGTGAAGTGGGGAAAAGGTTACATACATAATCAAGTAGCTGCAGAGTAAGTTTTAAGTGGCTGCCAGTGCCTGTGCTCTCATTTCAGGTTCCCAGGGCTCAAGATCCTCCTCTGAGTGCAGCCACCCACGTGGAAGTTCACATGACCACTGTCATTTTCTGGGGCCGTGATGTCCCGCACTATTAAGGTATTAAGAGTCCCATACTGGGTTTGTGCATCATCTCACAATGAGGTTGTGACTTTCTCTTGTCACGAGCCATTCAAATGAGGTAAGTCATTGTACCAAACCAAATATTACAGCTTTCACACTAGTAACCTTCTGACTTCTGAGTTCTCATAACTGTGCTGATTCTCAGGCAATTGAAAAGAAAATGAACTGCAGTGCAGACTCTAAGACAGAGCTTTCCAAACTGTGTGCCACGACACATTAGTGTGTCGGCGGCAGTGTGTAGGTGTGTCGCGCGAAATGCAGAAAATTTTGCGGAAGGGCACCGCGGAGCTCCCTTACTCGCGTCTGCTTCCCTTGGCCCCTCCCCCGGAACTGAATTACTGTGTCGCGAAATGATGCATGTCTAAAAAGTGCGTCGCCAACATGAAGAGTTTGGAAAGCTCTGCTCTAAGAAATAAAAAAATCTCACTCCCTGGAGCCAGCAGGAACTAGAAATGATGCAAAATCAAAAAAATCAGACTCATGCAAGATGGAGCATTTCATATTACTCAACCGTGGGCGAATCTACACAAGACACTTTACCACACAGTTGACTAATTGACTGTACAGTAAAGCACCAAAGTCTACACATGCAGGCACTTACTGTGCAGTCAATTAGTGTATTGCACGGTAGCAAATTAACCATGCCATAGTAACTGCACAGAAGCACATATGTAGACGCTGACTAGGAGCAAATTTGCTTCTGGTAAGCCCCATCACCAAGGGGCCACCCTCAGGCTAGCCCTAGGGCCACAGGGATTGGAGATTCTTCAGCCCCTGGGCTGGGGCGGCTCATTGCCTGGCCCAGTCAGATCTTTAAAACTCTGTGGTGACCCCAGGGGCCTGTGCCACCTGCTGCCTGCCTCTGGCCACTGGGTCCTGTAGCAGTGACCCTTGGCCAGCTGCAGTAACCTGCCCAGACCCCAGCACTGGAGCCTCTGCACTGTGCATAGCAGGCACCTGTCCAGGCCTGGATTCTCACCCATAGCCCCTAAGGGCCATCAAGGGAGCCACACTGGGGTTGTTCCCAATGCTGCATGCTGCTTCTCGAGGGCCTAACTTGGTCCTAGGATGAGACTGCGGACCTCATAGCACTGTGGGGTGAGGCTGAGGTCCAGAGTCAGTTCACCTGGGGCAGCCCCTCCAACACCCACATCTATGAGGGCCTGGAGTGCAGGCATGATCACTCGTCATGCCAGTGCCTCATAAAGATCAAGGCCCCTTAGGTAGAGTGGGTCCACATCACCAACCACAACTGCCAGTCGGGGGGTGCCTGCAGGACTATGCCCTTTATGCAGCAACTTGACTACACCCTTGTGCCTCAAGACCTTGGGGGGAGCCGTGCTGTGTTCTCCAGCATGGGCGGCCTGCTGGAGCCTTCGCTGAGGCCTGGCAGCAGCGATGAGACATCAGGAAAGGAGGAGTCCATCCCACCATGGCCCCCCCTTACCCCCTCAGCACTGTCCAGCAGCTCTGGCACCCTGGGCCAGCACCTGCCCCACCAACTCCAGGTATGCAGCCCCACCCAGGAGGCCAGCCCAGGGATGGCACCACCTGCCCTCACAAGCTCTAGCTCTTCCCCAGAGGGGGCCCCTGCCTAGGCAGCCAGGCACTGCACCCCTGCACCCCAGGACACTGTCAGGAGCTACATGACATTGCCGCCAGCAGGGACAGACTTAGGCCATGAGGCACGCCTTGCACGCCCCCCACAGTAAGCCCTTCACTGAAAGGTGGACCCTTCCCTCCCTGTCTGCCTTGGCTTAGCTTCTCCTGGTCCCTGGAGTTTCTCCCCACAGCATGCAAGAAAGTAGGAGGCAGTGCAAAACTTAACTGAGCAATCTATGCCCCTGAGCTAGGTGTGGCCTGCAGGGCACAGACACCCTTGCAAATGGAGAGAATAAAGTGCTTTCCAGAAAACTATCCACAGTAAGCATGGTGCTGGGGGTGTGCGGTGAGGCTAGGAGCCGTGGCTGGCCATCCAGGTGGCCTACAGAAGGGAGTACAGGAGCAGTTGGTCTGCCAGCATCTCTCACAGCTGTTGCCCTGGTCACCACTGCTGGGTATGCCTGTGGCTCACCTGGGACCTTGGTGGTGGGGGCCTGTCACTGCCACTGGTGCTCTTGGTGCCAGGTGTCCTCTGCCCACTGTGTCTCCTCAGCCTAAGCCTCGTGAAAGAGCTCTGCCCGGGTCTCACAGATGTTAAGCAGCACACAAGCTGCAAGGATGACCTGAACTATGTTGACCTCCATGACCTTGAGGCAGGCAGTGAGGGTGCACCAGCGTCCCTTAAGGTGGAAAAAGGCACACTCCACCAGCTCACGTGTCTGGTTCAGGCACCCGTTGAAATGTGTCTGGAGGGGGTCCAGCTGGCCGACGTAGCGCTACATGAGCCAGGGGAGGACTAGATAGGTGGGGTTGCCAATGAGGACTGGCAGGACTGCCACCTTGCCCAGCTGGAGGTCCAGCACCTGTGGTGTGTAGTGCCGCACAAGGACCTTCCTGGAGAGGTTCCTGAAGGACGCCGTCCGAAACAAGTATGCCAGCGACCTGAGGGCCAAACCCGACCAGGGCAAGGTCTTCAACGTGACCTTGAAGTGGGACTCCAGCAACCACTTCATGCCCAGCAGGAGCTTCACATGCTTTGCAGACTGGTGCTTCCTCCACTGCACCTGCCTCAATTACCTGCCTTTGAATGGGGCCGTCTGCTTTGGCCACTGGGACAAGAGGTGCCAACGGTGCGCTTTATGTGGTAGAGACCAGCTGCAAGCTGCACGCCAGAGCCTGGCAGCTCCACCACAATGCTGTCCAGGACCCCCTGGTGAGGGCCATCCTGGCCGCAGCAGGGGAGATCTCCGCGAACCGCACTGTCCCGAGCTGCGAGAGCCAGATGCGTCCCGACATCGTCATCACCAACAAGAAGGCCAAGAAGGTCATGATTGTGGACGTAACCATCCCCTTCAAGAACCAGTGCCAAGCCTTCACCGACACCCGGGCTCGCAAGCGGGAGAAGTACGCCCCGCTGGCCGACATCCTGAGGGGCCGTTGCTACAACGTGACAGTCGACGCGCTTATCGTGGGAACGCTCGGAGCCTGGGACCCCAGCAACGAGAGCGT